TGGCAAGAGAAAGCTGGAGAGGAAGCACAACTGCTAGAAACACAGGGAGGAAAGGGAAGAAAAATGAATGTGAGTGAAGGAGAGGGAGAATGACAGGCCTGGAGGGGGTGAGATCATAGTCTCATTGCACCTTGTTCCAATTACAATGTCCTGTGTTTAGTGTGTGTGTGTGGATGTTCTTTGTGTGTGCGCGCCAGTGAGTGCATATGTATAAGTGGGCCTATGCAGGGGATTTAGCACGGCATGTTCATTCGCTGAGTTGTGCATCAGTCTCCTTTTTGCCAGTCTGAATTTACTCTTTGTTCCTTTCCTGCTTTAAGTAGCATTTTTCTGTAAACACAAATGTTTTCAGTGCAGCTTTAATGTTGAGAAGTTATATTTTCATTGTGTCTTTTGTCCTTTAATGTTGGAAAGTTACACACCCATTTAAGCTTTTTGATCCACACACTATAGAGCGCCAAAGGATTTGTTGGATCTGGAGGTATTTTTCTCATTTGAGGTTTTCTTTTAAAGCTGCACTATTCAATATTTTATCTTAATACTGGGTCAAATGACTATTTCTAATGTGAAAGAAGTCGCTTGTAACCCAAACTCACAGAGAGGAAACTCTGCAGTTCTCCTCAGCTCTATGGAGCGTTTTAGCATTTTTCAGCTCATTGTTTTGGTTTTCTGGCCGCAACTTTAATTTAAGAGAGGAGACTAAAACAGACCTAAAAAGTGGGTGAACATTGAACTTACATTATTTGGATGGCCAGAGACCCAACAATGAAAGCTAATATTTTGTCAATGCAATTGTGAACAGAACTCTGTGACTCTGAAAGTGAACTGACTGAAGTATTGAATGTAGTATGAGGTATTTTAGGTATTTTAGCCTCAGCTCCCATTTAGTTGCACTCACAACAGAATTTTAAGTCCATTGCACACTTGGAGTCATAGTTCATTTTGCCCCTTTGTTGTTTTTATGTGCATAGGTTTGCACCTTTGACTTCTTATCAAAGAACAAGATATTTAGTAACGCAGCCTCTCATCTTTCGCCTAACATTCTATATTAATTAATTATTAATATAGAAACCCAAAATAACTTATCCCACTTCACAAGAATGAACTGAAAAATCATATTTCCACATAATATATAAGATATAGAACAATTTCCAATTGATAAAAAAACTTTGTAGCTCTACATGTGTACACCCCATCCCACACACAGACATACACAATTGCAAAGTCATACAACAATCCCACACACACACACACACACACACACACACACACACACACACACACACACACACACACACACACACACACACACACACACATTTCACAACTGCAAAGTAATTTGAGGCAAAACCACAAGCTGTATCTGTAGTCAGCTCTTTACCCTCAGTGCTCCCTCTTTTTTTCCACACACACAAACACAGCTCAGCCTTTGCAAAAAAAACACAATTCCCAAGTGAAATGAAACAACAACATTTCCAGGAACAAAGTGTGGTTTCTTGCCTATGCTAATGACAAAATCTACAAGAAGACACTCTCTCTCTCTCTTCAATACCTTGTCTGAAGCTGGAGTCGAAGGGCCGGGTACCTTCCATGTCAAGGCCATTTGTGATTGACTGTAAGCTCAGGTCAATCACCTGGTGCAGGCGAAGCTTACGGCAGTAAATGGACGCAGCTTCGGGTTCCAGAGCGATGAGGAGCTGCTCTGGGCAGTCGGGAGACACTAGACCAGCCTGGAGGAGAGAAGAGAGACAGAAACATTTACAAGCAGAATCTTCTTATCCTGGAAAGATCTTGGTTATAATGAGATACGTAGGGAGCTAAACACGAGAAAGAATTAAGATTGAGAAAGTTACACATACTAGAATTGGGAAATTAAACTGCTCTCAGAAATCTACATACATGTAGATTCTGCTTTGGTGATATACCGATGCTAAGTGCCACTAGGAGGGGAGCGTTGGTATAAGCATTAATCATGTTGTATTGGGAGTAGAGTTGAGTGGCGTGAATGATGTGTGTGCGTGAGTGTGTGTGTGCGCAGGGCGGGGGTCTGGACACCACTTCCTGTGTTTGTACGCCGGTCTCCCTCATTGTTCACCTCTGATGACATCATCACCAGCAGGAAGCATACACGCCCTGACAGCCTCGAGCCAGCGCAGGGTGTGTGGATGTATGTCAATGTGCATATGAAAGTATGTATTTATGTATGTGCCCCGGTGGGTGAAGGGCAGATAAGAGATCTCATTGATGTGCATTGTGATAGGACCCCCTGCATTCCTGTCCATATACGCACACTTCCTACAAGTCATTGTGACAGGTAGCCTACAGTATGTGTTGGTGAGAAGCTATACAGGGAGAACAGTATATATATATAAATATGTGTGTGTGTGTTTGTTTGTGTGTGTTTGTGTAAGTGATCTTCCATGGGAAAATTAATGAGTCTTTATCTCATGGTTCATACGCTTTCTTTCCATCTCCCTGTTGTTCTTCCTCTCTCTGTCTCTCAAACACACAAACACACACAATCACTCAGTCTGCTGTCTATGTGCCGTCTTCCTCTGTGTGTGTCTATCTTAAATAGATTATTAAATACAAAATACAACATACAATGCGGAAGTATTGTAGTTAAAGTGAGATACTTGCAGCCAGTGGTGACTTCACTTTGGACAATAGTCAAAGCCATGTATCTGGAAAACGTCAACTTTTCATGTATGACGAAAAACAGCCGTGTTTTAAGCTTAATGAAAATGTGTTTTTGGTAACAGATTGTGGGTTTTTAGCGGGTCTTTTAAGAAAAGATTCTCTGGGTAGAAATTAGGTAATACAGCAGTACAGAAAAGATAAAGACACACAAAAACAATAGCAAAGGTAATAAAAAAAAGAAAATTACACCACAATCAGTTCATAAATCAGTTAAATCTGCTATATACACATAAAAATGTACGTTCTCAACCCATCAAGCAACAAAAGAAAATGATCAAATATGGCTTTCAGTGGACAGTGCATGTAGACATTATGTATCAGGACGGGTGGTTGAAATAATGTAACATTAAGAGGTTTTTTGGTTAAGTTTGTAGCTTCGTTCAGTCATATCAATCGCTCTATGTATGAATGGATGTGAGTGTGCGTGTGTATCTACCAGGTATGCAGCCTCTCTCATGAACTGTTTGGCAGGTTGTCGCCACACAGCGGGGACGGTGATTACCCATCTGATCTCCTCTCCCTCCAGCACTGACGACGACTGGTCCTTCACCTCCTAAAAAAAGGATCAATTAAACACTTTCTTTGGTAAAAGCTTAAAGATCGAGCTTAAGGTATGACCTTCCATCGAAGCAAATCTAGAGAAAATCACACGCATCAGTGTATGAACGTGTCCATCATGGGGCACCACGCTGCTATCATAAACTGGGGCTTTAAAGTGCACCTTTAAAGCGTGTTCCCTGAAGAAGTGCAGGGCGTGAGCAAACACCTCGATGGCCCTGACCCTCCGACCGTTGACCGCCTCCAGCTCCGTCTCCATGGTGAGGTCCTGCAGCAAACACAGCCGCAACTGCTGAAACAATGCTGCAAGAACAAGTCATCTTTCTGATGCTTAAAGCCTTAAAGGGGGAATCCAGCAATTTAGGATTGATCTTTCTCAAAGTCATGAGGCTTTCAAGACACAGAGTTAAAAAAAAAAGGAATGGTCAAAATTGAAGCAGTACAGACCGAAATACCCATTTGTTATTTTTTAACCCCGGGTGTGGTTCAAGCTCTAAAAACACTGGATCGTACACTTTCCACAATGCAACTGGATAGTGTTGGCTGGTGACGGCCATGTCTCTCAAATTGAACACATAACTTAAACTTTAAGTCTCAAGTCTAAGCCGTGACAACCCTGATGACATCACTATGACATCATCGGGTCATTATCTCAGACTTTAATAAGCTCCTCCAGGGTCACTGACTACCTTATACAACTGTTTTCACTGGCTACCTTGTACTTGTACATGACTAATACATTGATCTAAATGTGTAATATGAGCATTTCAATCTGGCTGTATCATGTAAAATTCACTTTCTGTCACTACAACTCATCTATTCCACCTTTCCCATCTCATTTTCCTGATCTCTCTTACACTTGTGCTGTGGATCTTCATCTTGAATTTATCAAAGTAGAGCCAGTGCCGGGATTCCTCTGGGTCCAGGTCGTGGTAGAAGTCCCGTGCTGCAAACCCAAAACTGTGGAACCGCAAGTCAGGTGTCAGCAGCAGACACGTCGGGCTTTTCTGATTGGCCACTCCAGGGTCGCCGCCCTCCCAACGCCTGCGTGGATTGGAGGAAAAAGATGCCACGGGTAGAAAATCATAGAACAGAATAGGATCACAGACAACAAGCTCAGACTCTTACTTCATCATGTGTATGGCCTCTGAGTCCTGTGTGAAGCTGAACGCGTAGCCACTGGAGGTCGTCCCAAAGTCTATTGCCACGACAACCGAGAACGGACAGGACATCCTGGGTCTGACCTCCACCCTCTGAGAAAGATGGGAAATCAGGCCCCAGAGAGACGGACATTTGTGTGTGTTGAAGCTGGTTTTTAAAGCACAAGAGCTCCTCATTGACCTCCTTTTCATCACCTTCCTGCTCTTTATTAGCCACAGTAGAGCTGTGGCTCATGTGATCCCCTGATGTGTCCTCTAACGCCACCATGAGGCTCATATTTTAGTTTTTTTAGTGACATATCTAAATTACTATCTAGATAAATTGCCATGAAATTTGCTACGAGCACTCGTGTCTAGCACTGGATGACTTGTCCAGTACTTTGCTTTATGACTAAATACGATCAAAATCCACTATCCTCAGCTGTTTAGTGCTGATATTAGCATGCTAACTCGTTAAACTAAGATGTGAACATGAAAAACATTACACCCGCTAAACATCAGCATGTTAGCATCATCTTTGTGAGCATGTTAACATTTAGCTCAAAGCACCGCTGCCTCAGTAGAGTCTTGGTAATAGTTCAACACTGAAAGGACGAAATTCTCATAATTTGTGACTCTACAATATCTACAAATATCACAAAGTGAACAAGCTAATGTGTGCTATCATTTCTTTATGGTGGCATTTAAAGCAATGTTTCTTACATTTCAGTAAAAACTAGTTTCTATAAGTGGAAATATGTAGAAATTAGAGACTGTTTCCCACTGACGTCTCTTTCTTTTTTTCCTCCTCCTTTAGTGCCAAAGTGTATATTTTTCTTTACCTCAGATTGTGGTCTTTATTGGACACTCGTTTTAAGTCTACACTTAACTTCAAACTGTGAGTGTAAGTGTATAAACCCCCTTAATAGCAAGAAGTGGATGTGGGTGTACAGGCTGGTGTTTAAGAGCTCTATATTAAGAAAATAAGTAGAAAGAGGGAAGGGTGTGTAGGAGTGTCTGTGGTGAATGTGTGTGCATAGTTACCGGCGAGGGTGAGGGTGTGAGGGGTGTGATGCTGCAGTCATTTCTAGCTGTGGCAGGTGACGAAGGTGCTGATAAATTATCACCTGGGAATTAATGGAGAAGAGAAGAGAAAGTGGTGACTGTTAAAATCTCATTATAAGGGTTTCCGCATTGGAAAAGCGCCACATGTACTCCACTGGAAAATGAACGGACTAGCCAAAAAAATCTGTGCTTGAAGCGATACACAGCCTTGGGAAACCTCTGTTATCACAAGGAAAGAGGCATCGTTGTACTGTCACACATGCAGAAGACACCTTATTGTAAGCTCTCTAGATGCGAGTGATGTCGATTGAATATTTGTAATGAACTGGAATGATAGGAATGTTACTGGAAAATGATGTAAGTAATATTCCCAAGTGGGAGAGTGGCAAGGAAAGGTCAGCGTGTTCACTCTCCAAAAGATAAAGAGACAGAAGTGAGTCATTTTGACCAGGCTACCATGGTAATGAAGCATGTGAATAAACTGTATGTGTGTCTCACTGGGTATCTGCAGGCTGTTGGGGTCTGGCTGCACCACGTCAGCCATCTTTACAGGAGCCAGGATCTGCAGAGAAACACACCAACACCAACATGATGCATATGGAATAATTAATGAGGAAAACACTGCTTTATGCCCCCCCCCACACACACACACTTTATCATGTGTGTGGCATTGAGGAGTTTTTTTTGTGATGAAGTGTTACGTAGAATTAGATTATAATAGAAATTTAATTAGGCCCAGTGCGATCACACTAGTCAAACGAACTGGACTTAAATGAGCTTGGACTGCCTGGCTAGTGTGAGTACGCCCTAAAACGCTCCATGTTAGCTGAGGAGAACTGCAGAGTCCGGTGATCCTTTTCTGTTCATGAAAATGTGAAATAGTGCAGCTTTAAGTGATGAATTCTAATGTGGGGACAAATGGATGCCAATGCCAATCATCTTATACAGCACATATACAAGCACAATAAGATGGAGACAGTGACAGCTCAGTGGTTAGAGAAGGATGGTTGTCACTCCCTTGTTCACCCACTCACTTTTGCTTACATGATAAATAATAATATTAATCAATAATAGTAAAAAAAATTTGGCAACTAATTAATCATTGTCATTTTGTTCGACTGGGTAACGCATATTTTACAGGGAGATTTCGGACCTCAGAGAAAATGACATGATAAAATTACAGTGCACTAGTGAAAATGGAGTATTTTTGGACACACCAAAGATATTCATCAGCCGAGGACGGGAAGTAAAGAAGACACACCCGAACCATCTTTCACAGCAGCTGTCACAGCGCACTTGAAGTTTGAGCTCCCAGCTACTATAACAATGACTGGTTGCACTGGGAAGCTTTCGGGTGTAAGTTTATGAACCACACTGTCTGCCAAATACCAATTATGTAAATGCTACATGAGTGAGCCAACTTTTTGTCTGGGTTAAACAGACAAGATGTGGACACGTGAGAGAAACGTTGACAAATTATTGTGCACTCATCCAAAAGACTGATCCACATTGGTAACTGACATATTTTGTGATCACAAGCACAGATGTGACGGAAAACGATAGACTCGGTGGGTGTGTGTGCATGAAACTTGAGAGAAAGACGTGTGTCTACTGTTTCAACTGTAGCCTATATGAGTGTGTAATATTCATGAAGTAGTGAGTTGTCTCTATGTTGAATGTAAGTCCTTCTGCACATGCATCTACTTTGTGTGTCTGTGTGTCGTATTGCGGCACTGGGAATCATTTGATCAGTCTATGATTTGAGCCAAGAGCAAACTAAACAGATGAGTGCAATGGAACAAAGATGTGTTTGTTTAAATCTCTTTCTGTGAGTGCGCGTGCGTGCTTGCCTGTGTGTGATTGAGTTAGTCCGACGTCCTTTCTTTGCATAAACACGCATGCAACATCTGCGTGCATTTACTCAAGCATGTGCCTGAAACATTTGAATTTAATATCTGCTTGTGCATGTGTGCACCACTGGCGTTCTCTCACAGTATCTGTCCTTGCTATTTGACGATTAAACCAGAGAAGGGATGAATCTCCACATCTCTCCCCTGCTTCATCCCCCATTGCACATGCTTTTTTCTTTCCTATTTCCTGCCTTTTCTCTCTCATCCCGTCATCTCTTCAAGATCGATGTGCAGCGGACGATTTAGACTCCCCCCCTCCCTGCATTGTTTTCTTTCTTTCTCTCGTTCTCAGACGCACGACTGAGATCTAGCAGGGGATCAGCAGAACAAGCGACTTTAACTCTCCTCAGCTGTTACATTTGATTGTGCAACACACTCCACTTTTATGCACCATTAACAATAGAGCTCAGGAGTATGTGGAGGTTTTTTAAACATTACTGGCAAGACAGGCTTTAGTTGTTCTCATTATCATAGCAAGTTTATGGCTCGGAAGCTTGAAGTTTTACATTTGGCAGACCAGTTTTTAAAAAGCGCATTCAACCTCCACAGCAACAACAGCGACATGTCAGCAACAATTATAAATGCAGTTACTTTCTTTGAACGTTAACTCACCTCTTTGTATGCTGTTGCAACACGATGCCCTTGTCCTTTTTTTGCTTCTCCAAAAGTAATCCCAAACTCTGGAGTTTGGCAGTCCAAAGTTTGGAACCCGCCTCCTGGGAGGGAGATGGAGAGGAGAGGAACAGGAGGATACGAGAGGATGCTTTTCTACCTTGTTAAAAACGTAAGACTTCCCAGCCGACGTGAAATTGGAATTCCCTATTTGGAAAAGCTCACTGCAACGGAGGTTCTGCAAGGGACTGTTTTAAGCTCACAGTGAGATGTGATGGATGGAAAAAAGGACAAAGGACAATTTTTATCTTCTTCTTCTGCCTATTGAGGTTCTGAGTTGGATTTGCAGTTCTGTCTCTCTGCAACTGAGCTCACCGCCTCTCCGCTCTGCACAGGAATGTCAGAGAAAAGTGGTGACACACACACACACACACACACGCACACACACACACACACACACACACACACACACTCGAGTTGCAGGAGTGGGAGGGCTGTGACAGCACATAGTGGGGGAATGCTGGGCGATATACCTCACTGGGAAATTGCTCTGTGTGTGTGTGTGTTGGAGGGTGGAGTATTCCTGAGCAGGCGGTGTATCCCAGTTAAGTCATCTTGCCCTTTTTTACCCTCCCACTCCTCCACACGTATCCTTCCTCAGTTTAATCATCTCTTCCTGTCTTCCTCTTTTATTTTGTCCTCCTTGTCTCCTTTCACTTCTTTTGTCTTTTTAACTTTACTTTCCTTGTTAATGTAGCGGCTCCCTTAACCTTTTCACAACATCTATTTACAGCTTTCTAACCTTGCAGACAAAATCAGGAAGCAGTCAGGTGTGTTTGATTAACCTAAAACAAATAAAAAACTTAATTCATTGTGGGGGGTTGTTAACTGTGGACAGAGCCAGGCTAGCTGTTTCCCTCTTGATTCCAGTGTTTGTGCTAATAAGTGAACGGGCTGCTGGGTGTAGCTTTATCCCACATACATGAGAGTGCTATCGATCTTCTCTTTTAAATCTCGGCAAGAAAACAAATAAGCGTATTTCCCAAAATGTCAAACTATTCCTAAAATGAAAATCAGTTCAATATTTAAACGCATTTACTGCACTTGATACACATTAACCGTGTGTGTGTGGTTTGTATGTGTGGATCTTGAGGGCCACCTCAAGGCCTCAGGGATCTGATTTCCCCCCACTAGAGCTGTGATTGAAAGCATACATTAACCCCCAGTGCTTGCACACACACACACACACACACACACACACACACACACACACACACAAGCCAGCCCCACTCCCAATTGGCAGAGGAAGTCAGACCTCTTGAGTATGTGAAAGAAAAGGCCTCTGGTATATATACACACACATCCACATACGTCTATGAGATTTCCAAATTGAATTAGGGCGTGTGTGTGTGTGTGTGTGTCTGGAAGCCATTACCTGGCATGTCTCCCCTTGCTGCCCAAACCAAGAGGCCCCATATGGATTCTGCCATCACCACTCTCTTTCTTTCTTCCTTCTTTGGCTTTATTGCTTCTTATTGTGTTTCTATATCTGTCCCTTCTCTACTTTGTGGGCCCTTCTTCTCTCTTTTCTCTTGCATCCATCTTTGTTTATAATTCCTATCCTGCATTCATTTGCTCCAGTTAATTTTCTAATGACTAACATTAGCAGTCAGTTGGCAGCATTTCAACCGTTTTGCAATCAAATCTTTTTAAAATGTTGGGAATTTGCCTGACTCCTCTGTTTGGCAATCAGCTTTGTCGTAATCTGTATTAGACCGGCTCAAACCCACCAGGGGGGCTGCAGTAAAGCTCCTTCATCATCTCAGAGACATAAAACTGTGAGATCCTGAGTCGTGGTCTAGGTGCAGCCTCACCCTTCTCCTTGGAGCTCCAGATGCAGTAAGCCCAACAGCCCAACACAGGAAGTGATGGAGTCAGGTGACAGGAAGGAACCCTTGTGCGGCATTCCTATCATGAATTCCACATTATCTCGGGGGCGCTGGAAGTCCTCGAGCAACAGAAAAACACCCATAACATATACATGAATGCGTGCATGCAAACACACACACACACACACACACAGAAAGATACTGTTCTTTCTCCAGCTAAATAGACCACAATCTCAACCGCAGCCTGACTCAGCATCAAACTCCACACTGTTGATGCAAAAGAGTCACAAAGCAACAATTTCGTTGGCAGTTTAGTTGATTACATCTTGTTGATTGCTTATAGTGTCGGCCACAACGTACATTTCTAATGTTGGTACCTCTCTAATCTCTGTACAGTAAATATGAAGCTACAGTCAGTGGCCAGCTAACTTAGCCTAGCACAAGGAGTGGAAACATGGTGAAACAGCTAGCCTGACTCTGTTCAAAAGTTTTTAAAATATCCACGTGCCAGCACTAAACTACCACCAGCTAAGCTAACTGGCTTTTTACACATGTAAAAGGGGAGCTTTTACATGTGTAATTAGTAAGCTTTAAGTGTGCCGGGCTAGCTTGTTTCCCCCTGTCTCTAGTCTTTATGCGAAGTTCAGCCGACTGGATCTAGCTTCATATTGAGCCTACCGTACAGACAAAAGAGTGGTAGGCTAGGCTACAATATTGTCATCTAACTTAAAGTATTTCTCAAAAATGTCAAACTATTCCTTTACAGGAAAAATATGATGCATTTATTTTGATTTTTCCAGTAATGCTTTTTGATATGCTTTTGATAATGCCTTGTTATATACAGTTGTATAAGGTTGATTTCATGTTAATTTCCTGTCATCCTGTCATGCAGTTTACAACTGTATTTTTCAAAACGCTGATATATTTGTATGTACCTATGATGTTACTACTTAATAATAATTATTTGATTAATTAATAATTACTAGTAATGCAGTACATTTAAATAGCACTTTATCTTAGATAATCAAAGTGCTTGGTCCGAGGTATTTATATATAAGGATGTGGCAACCATTTCGAAACATTTTGACCTGATGAAGATGTAACTATAGTGTCAGTGTGTAGGCATTACTTTTTTCATCATTGTTTGTTTCATCATCTGTATTTGTGACAAACCAATCTAGACTCATGGTCAAATTATTTACTAATTAATATAATAATAATAACTTCATTTGTAGAGCACTTATCAAACAGAGTACAAAGTGCTTTCAAAAAAGATCAAAATCAATTAAAATCATAATAGTTAAAAGACACCAATGAAATAAGTCATAGCATGCACAAATTAAAATGAAAGTAAAACAATAAAAGGGCTAGCCTATCAGATAAAATCAGAAAACACTTTTCTGAATAAATACGTTTTCAGGAGAGACTTAAAAGAGGACACTGACTCCGACATCCTGATGTCATCAGGCAGATCATTCCAGAGCCTTGGGGCCCTTCCCGCAAAGGCTCTATCTCCTCTAGATTTCAGCCTGGCCTCAGGGATGAGCTCAGGCTGCGTACAGGTTCGTAAGGGGTTAAGGGGTCACGAATTTATTCTGAAACCAGGCCATTAAGAGCTTTAAAAGTAATCAATAAGAACTTAAAATCAATCCTAAAACAGACAGGGAGCCAGTGTAAAGACAATAAAATTGGAGTGATATGGTCAAACTTCCTAGTTTGGGTTAATAATCTAGCAGCTGAGTTCTGCACTAATTGTAGGCAGTTCAGAGTTTTTTTATTTAGACCTGAGAACAGACTGTTGCAGCAGTCTAGGCGAGACAAAATAAAAGCATGTATAACAGTTTCAGCATCTCTGGCATTTAAGTTTTCTTTTGCAATATTCAATATTGCAATATTAAGGTGAAAGAAGCATGATTGGACAAGCTTAGCAATGCGTTGTCAAAAAGGACACCAAGATTTCTGGCAACAGGCGTAATGTAGGCAGATAAATGACCAATAGAGGGTATAATCTGATTAGTAGTGTGCTGGGGACGAAGATTTCTGTTTTGTTAGAGTTGAGTTGTAGAAAGTTTATTGACATCTAGGCTTTTATGTCAGTCAGGCGGGCCTGGAGGAAACGCAGCACACTGAGGTCAGTTGGCTTTACCGGGAGGTATAACTAAGGATCGTTCACATAGCAATGGAAGGGAATACCATATCGGCGAATAATGTCACCCAGGGGGAGCATATAAATGGAAAACAAATAGGTCAGAGAATTGATCCTTGGGGCCCACCATAATAAACAGGAGAAAAGGTGGATTTAAAATAGACACACAGTTCTTCCTGTTAGATAAATACGAGGCAAACCAGTCCAATACCGTGCCAGAGATGCCCACCCAATGACTCAGTCTCTCTAGCAAGATGCCATGGTCAATTGAGTCAAACGCAACGGACAAGTCTAACAGCACCAGACTTGAAGACATGCCAGCGTCTGCGTTCAACAGCAGGTCGTTAGTAACTTTTAAGAGAGCAGTCTCTGTACTGTGATGAGGGCGGAAACCAGATTGGAATCTTTCAAAAATGTCATCTTCATAACTTCATAACATAAGGAGCTGCTTAGAAACAATTTTTTCCAGAACCTTGGAAATGACAGGCAGTTTAGAGATAGGGCGATAGTGGTCGAAGTTGGTGGGATCAAGGCCAGGTTTTATTAGGACTGGTTGAACACAAGCACGTTTAAAATAATCTGGAACACAACCAGATGGCAGTGAGCTGTTTAGGATTAAAAGCAAATAGGTACCTAGACTGTCCATGATTTCAAAATAAAAACTTTGTAGGGATAATATCCAAGGGGCTGGTGGAGTCTCAGTGAGTTCCAATAAATTAGCTGGGGAGACGCAGCTCCAATGATCCTGAGCTGGGTGGTCCACATCTAGAAAGGCAGGGTGAGGGCTAATGCTAGATCTTATTTTTCCCACCTTTGTCATAAAGTAAGTAAGCAACTTTTCACAATCTGTGTTGCTGTCAGCCAAAGCAGAGGTAGGAGTAGGATTTACTAAGAGATCAACAGTGTTAAAGAGGAATCTAGGATTGTGCTTGTTGGTAGTGATAAGAGTAGACAAATAGTTTGTTCTAGCGTCTTTCACCATTGTGTAATAGCAGATTAAAAGCTCTTTTATAGCTATGAAGAATTAAATAAATTAACTAGGTTATTTATATCACAGTCAATTGGGAACGATTTGTTAGTTTAGTTAAACTGCGTACAGAATTTTGCTGCACTTTAAAATTCGTGTTTACTATGGCTGGAGTTTGGCAGTGTTAGCTGTTAGCATTTCACAGAAGTACATAATAAGTTTGTGATCAGATACAGGCAAGTCCTTAACTTCCAAGGAGGGTAAGTTGAGTCCCAGAGTAAAAACAAGGTCGAGAGTGTGGCCATGGTGGTGGGTTGGACCGGATACATGTTGTAATACTTATAAAATCATTTGCCGGGGCATTAAAGGACACATCAATATGCATATTAAAATCACCACAG